CCTCGCCGGGCCTCGGGACCGTCAAGAAACGCCTCGGGACGAAACACCGGTCCTGGGGAAAGGGTCGGGGCTTCCTGGGGCGCCGTCCTGAAAAAAACAGGACGTCGCATGTCTGGGTTCGAATCGCCGAGCGCGTTCCACTACTCGCAAAGTGCCTACCCGCGAACGTCCGACAAAAAACACATGCCTGCTTCGATGTGATGTATGCTAGATCCCCCGCGGCGAGTCCAGGCCATTTGCGAGTAGTGACTTTGCGAGCAGTGCAACGCGCTCGTCCATCTTAGAAGCACCCCTGCTCCTTAGAGGGCGCGGGCCTTGTCTGCGGGACGGGGATATGACCACAGCCACTGCTTCTTGTCTGCGCCGCCTTCCAGCCGGCCGAAAAAGAAGCAGTGGTTGTGGTCATTGCCCTGGTGCCAAGCTTAACGAACATGGCCACAGTCACTGCCTTGTTTCTGCCGGCTGGAAGGCGGCAACCAAAAGAAAAGCAGTGGCCGTGGCCGTTTTCGCGTCCCGTACTGTCTGTAGATGTCAGAGGCCAGCGCCTCTGAAGACCCAGACCCCCGGCGTCATGAATTTTTCATGACGTCGACCCCCAGCGGTCTGGACCCTTTCCCCGGGACCGGTTTTTCGTCCCGAGCCGTTTTGTGACGGTCCCGAGGGCCAGCGAAGGCCAAAAATAATGAAACACCTCCCGTCGTGATTTTTTCATACCTCGAGGGGGTCTGGGGAGGAAGCCTCCTGCCAAGAAGCCTTCCCCCCCCTCCCCCCCGGACCCGCGTGTGTGCGCCGCCTCCGAGGGCGCGGCCTTCGGGGGCCGAGGAGGAGGAGGAGGAGGAGGAGGGAGGAGGAGGAGGAGGAGGAGGAGGGGGAGGAGGAGGAGGAGGAGGAGGAGGAGGAGGAGGAGGAGGAGGAGGAGGAGGAGGAGGAGGAGGAGGAGGAGGGCCCTTACAGGCCCTCGGGACCGTAAAAAAACGGCTCAGAACGAAAAACCGCTCCTGGGGAATGGGTCCAGACCGCTGGGGGTCGACGTCATGAAAAATGTATTACGTCGGGGTGCTGGGATTGGTGGTCTGCTTCCGGAGGGTTCCCCCCCCTTCCGCGAGGAGAACAACTACCACATGCCCCACCACGTGTTCAAGCAGCTGCAGCTCAAGCACTACCGCCAGGAGTGCTCGGAGGTGGTGCCGGGGGAGCTGTACATCTCCAGCTACCAGGCCGCGCCTGCCACGCCCGTCGCGGACCGCGGGCGGGAGCACGGCCGAGCAGCCCACTCGCACGGCACGTGGGCCCGAGCAGACGCAGCTCGAGTGGCCCAGACCCCCTCGCGTGGTGCCAAAGTCGCGGCGAGAAGTTGTGGTCTATTTTCTCGGCCACCGGGGGCCCTTGCCGGCCCTCGCGAGACCGTCCCAAAAACGACTCGCGATGAGAGCGGCCTTCCAGACCGCTTGGGGTCGGAGGAGCCCACTCCAGGGAGCTCGAAAGTTCGGAGTCGGCGCTGGCTTGATGCTGCTTGGTCCGGCTTGATCCCACTTCTTCTCTCTGGTTGTTTCCCGTGCAATCCAGCGAAGTCCCGGGCGAAATCTGGCCTGTTCGCGACCCCTTCATCGGGCTTTATAGCCCCTAAGCGTTCTGACGAAGACCTCCTCAGACCTCCCAGGAGTTGCGCCTCCCAAGGGTGCCCGGGCCCGCTTCCTGGGACGACGAGCGCGCTCTGCAGAGGATTCCGCGCCAGGAACTTGGGCAGACCTGATATGGCCGTGCCTGGCGACGGAGGGCCTCGCCTTCGAGGAGCCGAGAGGTTGACATCTCCTCCCCAGCGGAGGGCGGCGGAAGGGCGACGGAAGTTGGCGGAAGCACACTCGCCATCGCGACTCGGCGCCCCTTTCAGGCTCCAGCAACTCGTCATCCCGTCTCGTCAGCGACTCGTCATCCCTGTCTCGGCGCCCCCTTCGGGCTCCAGCACAATTCGATTGGTATTGGCTTTCTGCGCCGTGGTATACATTGCCTAAGTGTTCTGGGGAAGTGCTGCGCCGCGAAAGCGTTTTTTTTCATCGGTCCCAATTGCAAGACACCCAGCCGAATCCTACAGCGTGTAGCGTCGGAAACAAATGAGCACACGGGAAGCAAAAAGTCTGCCTCCGCTGGTAGCAGCTCGGCCCAAGGCGGCCGAAGCCACACTGGCTCCTCCTGAAGAAATGTGGATTCTCAGTTTTTGAGGCCGTGTTCCCGGAGTCGCCGACATTGCCGCATGCTTCGGGGGCGGCAAAGAGGGGGGGGTGGTGGATATCATGGCGTGGGCCATGATATTTCCCCAGGTTTCAGGGCGCCCCTTCTCCTTTCGGCACGCCCCATGGCCCTCCCCGCTGGGCCGCGCACCTGCCGCCGGTCCTGACTTGCACCCCCCCCCCCTCTCTTGGTCGCCCCCCCCCCTCTTGGCCGCCCCCCCCCCTCTCCTGGACGCCCCCCCCCCTCTTAAGGCCGCTCGCGCATGTCTTTTTCGAGCGCTCGCCCCCTCGAGCGGACGCGCGCGCGCCAGTCGTGCGCATGGGGCGTCCAGCGCGCAGCCCCCGCGCGCTCCGCGGGGCCTCGGAGGCCTGCGGAGGCCTCTCCGCGGAGCCCTGCCCTGCGGAGGCTCGCGGGGCGCCCCCAGGCGCCCAGAAGAGCGCATCGAGAAAAATCGTGCCTGCGCTGCTCGTGTGGCGTTCCTCGCGTGAGCTTGCCTGCGGCAGATCGGCGCGTGTGGCGTGCCAGCCCTGCCCGGCGGTCTTCGGCTTCACGCTGCTGCGCCTGTCGCGCCGTGGTGGCACACATGCCCTCTCCCTCCCGAAAAACATGCGGTGCTGATCAGGGTCCGCGGCAGGATGAGCCGCAGTGGCAGGATGCGCCATTCTCGCGGGGGGGTGCGGAGGAAAGTGGCAGGGAAGCTCGTTTCCTCTCGGCGTCTTGTCCCTGTCGCACAGTCGCCTCCTTTCTCTTGGTAATTATCCTTCTCCCCTCGGGTTGCAGCGTTTGCGCTCTGGGTTGTCGCTGTTCCCCTTCGGCCTCGTCTGCCGCTTCTTCTCCCTCGCTCCCTCGTCATCCTCCGCCCCTGCAGCGGCAGCCGCACGACATCCGAGCAGAGGCACATCTCGAGAACCGTATGCCCCTGGAGAGCGCCACTCTTTTCGGGGGCGGACAGGACCCCCAACAGTGACACGTCGATTAGTGAATTGTCCGTTTTCGGTTCTCGAGGTGGCGCCGCGGCCGTTATTTTCCAGGCTTGCGCCCGCCAGATTTGGGCCTCAGGTCGTTTTCACTAAACCACGTTTTACTAAAGGGGGGTCTGTCCATCCCCGATCTTTCTGCAACGGCCAAGGAGCCCCCCGTCTTGCGGAGCACCGATCAGGGCAGCGCTGCAGCCTCGCAGCTCAAAACCCTCCGACAAGACGCTTTTTGGCCGCGACGTGGGCCGCCCCCCGTCCTGATTTCTGGGCCGCCCCAGTCAAGTCATCTTGAGGAGGAGGGGGGGGAGGGGGAGCAGGAGGAGGAGGAGGAGGAGGAGGAGGAGGAGGAGGAGGAGGAGGAGGAGGAGTTGGAGGAGGACCGACGGTTTCAGAGAACCTTCCGTCGTGTTTTTGTTCGACGACGCGAGAGGGGATCTGGGTTCCTCCATTTGGCGGTCAGCTTGACGTCAGGATGCAACCCCTGAGGGGTTAGATTGCGCAGGTAATACTGCCAGTGCCGCCGACCCTGAAGGGGGACGACGACGACGACGACGACGACGACGACGACGACGACGACGACGACGACGCTCTTGAGCCGAAAGCGTCTCCCAGGGAGGGGAGTCTCCCGCAGGGGGGGGGGTCACAAACCCCGGGGCCCTGCCCCCGCCTGCCCTCCGGGGACCCGCCCCCCCCCGCCCCCCCCACCCCCCCGGCTTGGGGGGTATACCGGGACCAACAAGTGGTGGCACCCCCTTCGCGTTCGACCCCGCGTTCGACACCCCTCCCCCCCCCCCTCCCCCCCCCCCCCCCCAATTTTCAAAGTTGGCTTCGGCCCCCCGGAGGCCCTGGGGGGTTTCACTCGTGTTGTTCTCTCACGCCTGTGCTGCCGAATGCTTGAGGCGAACTTTGAAACTGGGGGGGAGGAGGGCGTGGTGTCAAGGGCTCCAGCTTTCGGTCCATCTACGGGAGGGATCAACGGGAAGGGGCTCCCTTCGACTCGATTGCTACGCTGCTCGACGTCCCTCTGGCTGGAACGCGTGAGTGGGAGCTGCGACGACGACATCGGCCACTCAAACGGAGAAGCCCCTCACACACGTTGGCAGGATCGGCGGATGATTAGATTCAGCGTCGGCGCTGGTATACCCGAGGTCTAGTACAGACCAAACATGGTATAATATCGTTCAAATCCGCTCGATCCCTACGGAGTTGGCTCAACCGGGTTCAATTCAGAGCCAAATGCGCGCACGTTCGGCTAAGTGGCGCCTGAATCTGGCTCAATTCGGCGGGGGCGTTCGGTAAGGAAGCTGCCCAGGAGTTTGCAGATCCTGGGGTATTCCGCATCCGATGAGGACGGCGGTGATATCCATGGCCAAGTTCGCGATTGGCGTTTCACTGACTTCCAGAACCTGCATTCCTTGCCCAATGGTGCCTTGTCCGACGCCCTCACCGTAGCCCTTACGGTCGGGAGCTTTCGGGTAGCGTGTCGGGCCGCCAGTTCTGGCCCCAGCTCGCTGCGGCGCGACACGCTGTCCACATCACAGTCTCCAGACAGGAACGTCTCGAGCCTTGCCGAGCCTCCCGCCCCGCGGAGCGGAGTGACACGCTATCCGCCTACAGGGCACAGCGTGTCGCCGGACGACGACCGTGCTCCTCCCTCCTTGCAGTCAAGCCGATGCCATGCGGAACGCTGCGCCAGGAGCAAACCCTTGAGCGGCTCCCAAAGCGCCTGCGTGCACGCGGAGCGCCAGAGGAGTGACCATGGAAGGACCGAAGAAACAAGGAGCCCCCTCCGAACCCACACAGTCACTCATTGCAGCGTCTCGACTGTAGGCCGTGGGTGGGGGGCGTCCGCCGCAGGGGGTCCTCGGCGCAGGCCGTGGGTGTCGCGACCCCTCCCTCCGCTTCCCGCGCAGGTGGCGAGCAATCTGGAGAGCCTCCAGAGGTCGGGCGCGGCGCCGGAGGGAGGAGGGAGGAGGCAGAGAAGACGAGGAGGGAGGAGGAGGAGGAGGAGGAGGAGGAGGAGGAGGAGGAGGAGGAGGAGGAGGAGGAGGAGGAGGAGGAGGTGGAGCGGGAGGAGGTGGAGGAGGAGGGAGGAGTACGGAGGAGGAAGGAGGAGGAGGAGGAGGAGGATCAGGAGGAGGAGGAGGAGGAGGAGGAGGAGGAGGAGGAGGAAGAGGAGAAGGAGGAGGACGAGGAGGCGGAAGCTTAGCTGTCCCTTCTCCCTCTTCTCTTCATGGTCACAGGTATCCGTCCTCCCTTTTGCTTTTCTCTTGTTGCCTCTTGGTTTTTGTTCGCCCTACCTCCGAAGATCGCAGGGGGTGGGCCCGAGGGCATCGGCGCTTCGACGTGACCTCGTCCGCATCACCGAGTCACCGAGGAGAAAATGGCCGCATTCCTCCCTCTCTCTCTATAACTCCCGTGTCGCCTTGCTGCCGCTCTCTGCACCGCTGCTGCATGCCTGGACACCACAGACCACAGACGCGCGCCCCCAGGGCTGTTGGAAGAAGGAGGGGGAGCGATAAAGAGAGGTAGGGATATAATGGAGGAGGTCGGGGAAGGTGGGGGCAGAAGGACGGCGAGGAGAGGGGGGATGAGATGGGGAGGAGGGGAGGGGGGGTAGGATGGAGAGGGGATGGAGAGCGACGAGGAAGGGCAGGAGAAGGGTGAGGAAAGTGGAGGAGAAGGGTGAGGAAAGAGGAGAAGAAGGAGAAGGACGAGAGGGACCCGGAGGACACGGGAGCGAGTGGGCGGAGAGGATGGCGAGGAAGGGGCGAGGTGGAGGACGGGCAGGGGGGGGGACTTGAGTGGAAGGCTGGAGGGAGATCAGGAAGAGGAGGGGGGGGGCGGGGCGGATCGAGTCGGGAACCCTTGGGCAGCGCGTCGCACCGTTGGCTCTGGCCCACCGCGCCGCGGCTGCGACGCGGCCGCCCGCTCCGCGGCCCACGGGCGTGCACGCCCCGAGCCTCCTCCGAGCTCGCTCCGCCCCGCGGCGCCGAGCGCCACGCTGCCCACTCGCAGGGCACAGGAGGAGGAGGAGGAGGAGGAGGAGGAGGAGGAGGAGGAGGAGGAGGAGGAGGAGGAGGAGGAGGAGGAGGGGGAGGAGGGGGAGGGGGAGGAGGAGGAGGAGGAGCAGGGAGGGGAGGAGGACGATGACGAGGATGACAGGCATGGGGGCGTTGACGGGGGAGGAGTGGGGAGAGCCTGGGGAGCGCAGGCCGTCGAGGGAGGTGTGGACGAAAGCGGGGGGAGGGTACTCCGACCGAGTCCAGGTGCAGTCCTCCTGGCCTCCGGCCAGGTTGCCCCCCTTCCCTCTTCGCTCCTCGCCCGACGCGCCTCGCCTCCTGCCTGCTCCACACCTTGGTGGTCTGCAGGCCGAGCCTGTGCTCGCGCACCCCGGGGCAGGGCCGCCCCTGGCGGACCTCCGAGCACAGCCGAGTGCCGAGCTCCGCCCCCTGGGCGGCGCGCAGCAGGAGGGGGCGGGCCCCGGCGGCGGCGCCTCGCGGCCCGAGCAGGGCGCCCGCCCCCTTGGGGCCCCGGGGAGGCGCGGGGCGCCCCGGTGGCCTCGCGCGCCCGGTCCCTCTCCGAAGCCTGCAGGCTCTGAGCCGGGCCCCGCGCCCCGCCCGCTCGGCGGCCCGCCCGCGGCGCGGCCTCGGCCGCCCCCCGCCCGCTCGCCGCCGGCCCCGCTCGCCCGGCAGCGCGGCCGCTGCCCCGCGGGGCGCGCCCGACGGGGGCGCGAGCGGCCCGCTCACGGCGCGCCCGAGCGGCGCGTCGGCATCACCCCCAGGCAAGCATCTGCGATGTTCGGGGAGGGGGGGAAAAAGCACACTGACACAAGTAAGCGTTGATTCTTCCCCAGAAAATACGGGGAAATATGGGAAGTGTGGGGGGGGGGGGGGAAGACGGGACCCCCACAAATAGTTATGGAAGCATATTTTAAAACAAATCGTGTGTATTTATTTGTGTGTCCTGGGGCCCCTTCAGATGTGTGCGTCACCCTCGTGGGGTGGCGACGCGCGCGCTCAGATCCACTGCAGCGCAGGCTCGTTGGCGAGCGCTGTCTGGCAAGGTACCGCCAGGGTGGCGATGTCGCGTCCTGCGCGCTTGTGCTGCCTGTCCGGTTCGGACGAGCACCTCCGAGGGGGGGGGGGCGGCGCATGGTGCTCGGATGTCCTTCGGCGTCCACGCGCGGCGCCGGGGAGAGGTGGCGCATCACGCACATCGTCAACACCGCCGCGGACGTCTGCGACAGCTGCTTCCCCGACCTCATCACCTACACGACCTACTACCTGAAGGACCTCCGCCCCCTCTCTCGCCGCGTGAACAGAGTCGCGACGCTGGGCTGTCTCTGGCCTTCGGCCTCCCGGGGCCTTTTCCGCAGGCCCCGCGGGACCGTCCAAGGCGACTCGGGATGACGAGGCGGTCCCGGGGAAACGGTCGGGACTGCGAGTCCGGCGTCGAGTACTGGGGGGGGGGCGTTGAACGGGGCGGGGGGAGGGGGGGGGGAAATGTGCAACTCTTGTCCCCCAGAGGGGCGCGACAGGTGCCCGTCTTTTCGCCCCCCCACTCCCAGACTTTTGTTCGTGACGTCGACCACCAGAGGTCTGTACCCATTCCCCGGGACCAGTTTTCCATCCTGAGCGGTTCTTTTGATGGCCCCGAGGCCCTGTCGGCCTTCTGTCGCGTTATTGTTCATGACTCGAGGGGGCCTGGGTTTCTCGCCCCACCCTGAAGCAACGCCGAATCCAGGGGTCGACGCTGCTAGAAGACCACGAAGTGGGAGCTGGAGTACCATGCGGAACCTGCTCTGGAACAGGAACCCACCGTAGACGGAGCCACCCTTTCTCCGACCTCATATTGTGCCGAACGCAACGTCCGCGTTGTCCATAGGCGTGTCCATCCCGGATGCGTCTATGTACGAAACGACACCAGGTGTGTCGATGGCCACCCAGACGAACGCAACGGCCGCGTTGTCTACAGACGTGTCCATGCCGAATGTGTCTAGTGCACGAAGCGACACCCGGTGCGTCGATGGCCGCCCAGAGAGCTCGAGAACGGTGCTCGGCACAGACCCGGGGACGGGCCCGACCTGATGGCAGGCCGCAGGGCTGCCAGGACGGTCGGCCCCCGCTCAAAATTCACAGGAGGCCTCCCCCCCCCTCCGTCCTGCTGCGGGCCGCCGACCCCACAGGGGGGGGGAGGGGCCCAGCTCCCCCGGGGGGTCTCTCTCCCCCGGCGGCTTCCGCGGAGGCCAGTCGCGGAGGCGGGGGGCGGCCAAGATCGCCACGGGGGAGGCCCAGACCCCCACGGGCAATTGACAAATAATCGCGACGGGAGGCCTTTTCATACGTTCGGCCTCCGGGGGCCCTCACTGGGCCTCGGGACCGTCACAAGACGACTCGGGATGCAAAGTCGGTCCCGGGGAGTGGGTCCAGACCGCTGGGGGTCCACGTCATGAAAAATTCATGACGTCGGGGGTCTGGGAACGGGTCCCGTCGGCCACGCGCAGAGGGGGGGCATAATTAGGGGGAGGGGGGAAGGCTTCTTAGAGACACGCCTGCTTTTTAGAAGGCGCGGGCCTTCGTCTTTGGATGTAAGGCTGGCGCCTTCTAAGAAGCAGCCTCCTTCTAAGAAGCTCCCCCCCTCCCCCATACCGCCCCCCTGCGCGCCGCCAATCCTGAGGGAAACGGGTCCTCAGGTTTTTCGCCGTTCTCGGGCTCTGTGGACCCTCCACGGGGATCTACCTGTGTCTCACCTGGATGTAATTTCACCCGTTTTATTTCATCTGGGCATTCACCCGTTGATTTCACCCGTTTAATTTCATCAGGTTTAAGTTCGCCAAGGTTTAAATCAATCCATTATTATTTCGCCCAGCTTAAATCCATCTGGCTTTACATCTCCCGTTGGATTTCATTTTGTTTGGATTCGTCTGTTTTGTCGTTCGCCCTGTCATATCCCCTTCCGGAATACGTCCAGTTTACTTTCGCCAGGACGGTCAGAACACGACTCGGGATGACGAGCTGGCCCTGGGGGAAGGCCCCCAGAGTCCAGGACTCGCGTCTCTTCCTCAGGGCCCGCTTCCCCCAGGCGAACAAGAGGGGGGGGTGATGCCTAGAGGGGGGGGAGGAGGGACGAGGAGGAAGAGGAGGAGGGGGGGTAGAGGGGGGGGAGGAGGGACGAGGAGGAAGAGGAGGAGGGGGGGTAGGAGGAGGAGGAGGAGGAGGAGGATGAGGAGGAGGAGGAGAGGAGAGGAGGACGAGGAGGGGGAGGGGAAGGAGGAGGAGGAGGAGGAGGAGGTGGAGTGTAGTGTAGTAGTAGTAGTAGTAGTAGTAGTAGGTAGTAGTAGTAGTAGTAGTAGTAGTAGTTAGTTAGTAGTTAGTAGTTAGTAGTAGGAGGAGGAGGAGGAGGAGGAGTTAGGGGGAGGAGGAGGAGGAGGAGAAGGAGGAGGAAGGAGGAGGGAGGAGGAGGAGGAGGAGGAGGAGGAGGAGGCGGGGGAGGCGGAGATCCTTTTCCGCGGCCATGAGATCTCCCAGGATGTCCTCCCGCCGCCTCCTCGTCTTCCTCTTCCTTCTCCTCCTGCTCCTGCTCCTCCTCCTCCTCCTCCTCCTCCTCCTCCTCCTCCTCCTCCTCCTCCTCCTCCTCCCCCCTCCTCCTCCCCTGGCCCCGCCCCCTGGGCCGCGCACGTGCCTCGGGAGGCCACGGTCTGCGAGCCCTCCCCTCTTGAGGACGCCCCCCGCCTATGGACGCTCCGGGGAGAGGCCGAGGCGGAGGAGGAGGAGGGTTAAGTTGGGCACGTCCCTCTGCCGGAGCAAGATTCAAAGATAGTCAAAAAGATGGTCTGGGGACGATGCTGCGGCTCTTGTTGGCTATGTTTGGATATTTTGGGGCGATTCTCAATTTTTCCAAAATCCGCCCGTTGGAGGGCATGCTCGACCTGAGAGGAGGGTGAGGAGTGGCCCCGATCTCCCACGCGATGTCTCTTTCAGTCCCCGCGTCTTCCTTCGATGTCGGCCTCCAGGGCCAGCCAGCAACCGGGGCCCCAGGGCCATCAGAAGCATGGACCGGAGACGAATGACAACCATCCGCGGGGCAGGCGTCGGCCCTCCTGGGGCCGCGGAGCGGATGTCGGGGGGTGCGTTGGCCTAGGGCAGATGGTTGGGCCACTGGGGTCTGCGACAAGCCGCCTGGTCCTCGCAGTCGCGGAGCGCCTGCCAGTGCCGCCGCGGAGCCAGGGCCGTCTCCGAGGGGGCGCTCTCAGCATCCTCGCCTCGCTGACAGCCCCTCCCAGAGTGGAGCTCATGCTGATTACGGTTTGGCACGTTTGCTGAGCGTATCGCGCCGCTGGTTCTGGCCCATCACGCTTCAGCGCGACATTGTAACCCTTTCCCAGTGTCCAAGCGCCAGTGCCCCGCGCCTTTCCAAGCCTTTTGCCTCGCGGAGCGGAGCGACACGTTATTCGCTTGCAGGGTATAGCGTGTCGCTGGGACCACCGCCGCCGCGACACGCTAAGCAACATCGGTGCCAGGAACATATCCACAACACTATCTGTTGTTTGTCCACCACTTGGTTGCAAGTGGCGGGCCGAACACGGTGTAAGAATCTTTGTTGTTTCAACACCTGTCGCATGGAGAACCGGCCGGAAAATTCTACAACAGACGGTGCCCTGTGACTTTGCTGCGAAGCTCCATGAGGCAGGGCCCAGCTCGCGATTCTCCTGCGGAAGTGCTGGCTCTCCGCTCGGTCCGGGCAGAGGACGGCCTCCCGAACGTACCAGCCTGGAGCACATCCCTATCCCCGTGATTGGCATCGCCCCATCTCTCGATGACGGCCTTACGTAAGAGTACCCTCAGGTTCTGAGGTTGTCATCGCCTCTGGGCTTGTCAGTCTCAGGGGTGCATCGTAGGGGTAACCGAGGGCGGTCTTTTGTTTGGGTCCCCCTCCCTTTTCACCCGGCGGTGAACAGGACTTGTCCTAAAACTTGCCCCTGCTCTTCTTCCTCTTCCTCGTCCTCCTCCTCCTCCTCCTCCTCCTCCTCCTCCTCCTCAGAGTAGTCGCAGTCGTAGGCGTAGCTGTCGTCGTTGTTGTTGCGCGGCAGGTGCCGCAGAAAAAATGCTGAGGTACCTCCTATTGGTGGGACCCCAGTCCTTCAATCAGGCCCCGAACACATAATTAGTTACCCCCCATGGGGGGGGGTTCCAAAGAGCTTTCAGGGTGAAGCTCGAGGATGGTTACGAGCGAAGTCCTGGGCTGCCGAGGTTACGGGCGTTTCGGGATGAGTCTGCTACGGGTATTCGTGGCCCGTCGTCCAAAATGTGTGCGTGTCACCCATTCTCCGTGTACACCAAAGCCTCCTGCATGTCTTCAACACTCGCACGCGGATGGGGTCGTCTGGGTGCTGTGCTTGCTCCTCGAGCGTCGAGCGTCCTCGGGACGCAAGTCGGCCCAGAGTGTGCTCGCCCCGTGCAGCTCCGCCGGTAGCATGCGGCCTGGGTCGGCCCTCGTGGCATCGACTGCGTCGTGTGGAAGGGCGTGGACGAGCACACTCTCGCGCTGACGCGCTCTGAGGACCGTCGAGGCCGGTGCCTCCCGCGCGGCAGGACACGAACAGCGAGGAGATATCCCTGCTATTCTACAGGACGCTGGAGCGGGCCACCCAGCGTCGAGCAGTGGCGTCCTGGCTTGCGGATCCGCCCACCACCAGAGGATGTTCTGAGAACCTCTCGTGGCTTGCACGAACTGCTTTGAGAGCATTCCTGTTCGAGACAGCGTTGCTTTGAACGGTAGGCCTTGTGCTCGCTCTAAGAACATCGTAGCAGTGTTCCAGGTCTTGCAACATCATGCCGTCCATGGCGTTCGCGTCACAGGGGCTCTGTGCTGGAGCGGCGATCATGGCCAACACGGGGCCACACAGCCCCGTTGGGTCACGGGGTCAACACGGGCTCACACCAGCCCCTTTGGGCTCCAGAGGGCTCCCCGCCGAGGACTCCCGAGAGGGGTCACACAACTTGCCCGCAAATCACATATGTGTGTGTATGTGTGTATGTGTGCGTGACTGTGATTGTTACTGCCGCAAGCTGGCAGCGCTACAAACATGGACGCGGCCACACTTCCCTGATCGAATCACCATCCCCCAGTCCAGACTACCCCAACCCAACCCCAGGACCGCAGTTTGCCCTCCCTTCCCAGTCTGGGGGGGGGGCGTCGGGGAACACTGGACAAACATGTGTGGAACCCATGTTCCCCACCCCCACCCGAAATTTGGATCTTCGGGTTCGGTTGGGGTGGTCTGGCAGGTACGAGCTAAACGGTGTGTTGGCGATTTCGTGGGCCGTTTCCGTTTCGACTTCGCTCTGCAGCGCCAGGGATAGCGAGAACAAGAGCGAAGGATCACGAAGACAACAGCGACAACGAAAAGCACCGCCTGGCTCCAGCCCCTGCAGGTCGCCCTCCAAGAGGAGACCTCGTGGCCGGCCCCGGAGACCGCAACTTGCCCTCCACCCCCAGTGGGGGGGGAGGGGAGGGCGACGGGGAACGTTGGAGAAGCACGTGTGGAGCCCGTGCACCGCCCCCCCCCCCCCCGAGATTTGGGCATGCGGGTTCGGTTGGGGGCGGTCTGGCACGCAGTCCTCTGAGAGAACCTCGCGGTGGGCCCCGCCTCCTGGCGGTCAGGAGACACACCCGGGCAGGCGGGGCGTGGCGCCCGCCAGGGGTGCCCCTGGCCCCTCGCTCCTGCTCCTCCTCCTCCTCCTCCCTCCTCCTCCTCCTCCTTCTCCTCCTCGTCCTCGTGCTCCTCCTCCCTCCTCCTCCTCCTCCTCCTCCTCCTCCTCCTCCTCCTCCTCCTCCTCCTCCTCCTCCTCCTCCTCCTCCTCCTCCTCCTCCTCCTCCTCCTCCTCCTGGGCCATCTCGACTTGGGCACGGAAGGAATGTCGGCCCCGTAGACGGGCCAACGGCGTTGCTTTTCTCGAGCCCGCGGCCCCAGAGTGACACAGAGAGACCCCTCCCCTGGCCTGTTCTCGCCCCATTCCCGCCCCGCCGCATGGGCCCCGGCGCCCGACCGGTGTGTGCGGGCCCCGTGGAAGCCGACACGTCGAGGAGCGGCGCCGGCATGGAGGAAGGCATCGCCCGCAGACGGGCTCACGGCGATGCGGGCACGCAGGCGATGCGGGTCACTGACGGTCACGCGTGCGAGCCTCCAGAGGCTTCCCGAGGCCCAGAGAAGTCGGAGGAGGAGAAAATACCCTAAACCCGAAACCCTTGCACCTCGTCGTCCCCCTCTTTTGGGGGCCTCCTGGGCGGCCCTCGTCGCCGCCGCCGGGTTCGCCTCGGAGTTCTAGGCAGAACGCACCCCGGGAGAGGTCCGGGGAGTGGCGGTGTCGATGCAGTCGGCCCGGATTGGTAGGTCGACCCTGCCAGCTCAAGGGTACCCTCGTGTCCTGTGCCCCGCGACACGTGCCTCCTTACACTTCTATTGCGATGTGGCCCTCGGAAGGGTCTTGTGTCCTCTCGCGTGTCCTGTCCAATCAAGGCCGACTGTTATCGACCCCCCTTCAAGATCCGGACCCCCCTCCAAATGCGACCTCACTTACTAAACCGGACCCCCTGAGCTCCAAGCCAAAGAAAGCGCCCCGAGAAACCGGACCCCCCCCCCCCCAGGTGCAAAAAAGGCGCCCTGAAGAGCTAGACCCGGGGGGCGATTGATCAGGGATTTGGGGTAGGTCTCGGGTATTGTGGGAGCGCGTGGCTCGCGCTTTCATGCCATTCGCCGTGTCACGTTCGCCCGATGCGTTCGCTGATGGGGAAGGTGGGGTAGGAAAGTGTGGTTCGTGAGTTCCTACCATGTGGTTCCTAACGTCACCGTTAAGCAACACCGCCGCCAGCCTGGCCTTGGCCGCTGCGAGCAGGGGTGGGGGAAGTGAGAAGGAGAAGGCCTTCTCAGAAGTTTCGGAAGTCCCCTGGCCTTCTGGGGAGTTCTCGAAGCTTTTTCCCCGAAGACGCAGAACACCTCTCAGAAGGCGCGAGGGGGCTTCGGAGACGCTCCGCCTCCTCCCGAGAGGATCTGCTCCTTCTCACTTCCCCCCCTCGCTCGCGGCAGCCAAGGCCAGGCTAGCGGCGATGTTGCTCAACGGTGATGTTGGGAACCATATGGCAGGACATCACGAACCACGCTTTCCTGCATTTCCCATCTGCGAATGGATCGGGCGCACACGACACGACAGTACCCGAGACCTCCGAGAGTGGGCCCGGAGACCGACAGCAGTCCCCGATCACTTTGAGCAGGGCTCGCGGCCGGCGTCGCCGCGGGCGTTGTGCCTCCGAGGCAACGGGTCGCCTGCCGAGCAGCGGCCGCGGTCTCTGTGTTTTTGCTCCCATCCGCAGGGCCCGCTTCGATCCGATATGGCTCTGACTCGGCATCGGCTCGGGCCAGCCCGCCTGGACTCGGCCCCGATCTTCGGGCGGTCCGGTGCGGCCCGATGCTCGCGGGGCGGTGTCTGTGCCTCCCGGCGCCGCCGATTCGGTTCGGTTCCGACGTGTACGTTCCGATCCGAGCCGATTTCCCGATGTTGACGCTGACGGCTCCTGCCTCGCGCGGGCGCGCGCGGGGCCGGGGGAGCGCTCGCTCGGGCGCGCGCCGGGCGGGGACCCCAGGCGTCCCCCGCTTCGCCAGCACGTGGAAGTGGCTCTGATCTGGCAGGGCCTCCAGTGTTGTGGAGGACGGTCAACGGAGAGTAAGCATGCTGCCAAATAATTTCCAGACTTCTAAAGCATGTGTGAAACTTGTGTGAAACCTGTAAGAGCATGTGTTAAACATGCTTACGGCAGTTGTCCGACATGTTAACGCATGTTTAGTTCGATGATGGGACTGTTAGGGTGTCCATGGTCGTGGCATCCACAGCTCCAGTGGCTGGCGCTCCAGGATCTGGCCCCCTCGCGGCCTCCGCAAGAGGTGTGCACCAGAGGCCACCCTCTGGCCCAGGGTCGCTCTTGCGTGCAGGCGCCGCCTGGCGAGCCCGTGCGGCCGCCGATGGGGACAGCCCGGCGGGCTCAGTTCCGAGAGGGTCGAGGGAGTTGGGCCCCCCTCCTCCTCCTCCTCCTCCTCCTCCCCCTCCTCCGCCTCCTCCTCCTCCTGCTCCTCCCCCTCCTGCTCCTTCTCCTCCTTCTCCTTCTCCTCCTCCTTCCTCCTCCTCCTCTTCCTCCTCCTCCTCCGCCTCCTCCTTCCCTCCTCCTTCCTCCAGCTCCTCCTCCTCCTCCTCCTCCTCCTCCTCCTCCTCCTCCTCCTCCTCCCCCTCCTCCTCCCCCTCCCCCTCCTCCTCCTCCTCCTCCTCCTCCTCCTCCTCGTCCTCCAGACTGGCTGGTACGGATCCCTGAGCGCGCCGAGGTGGATCCAGAACGCCATTAACCGGGGCGGGCGGGTGCTGGTCCACTGCCGCGAGGGCGTCAGCAGGCACCCGCGCGCGCTGCGCGAGTTGGGGCAGTCTCCTGGGCGAAAACATATACCCATCGGTCGTTGAAAGTAGGTGTTTTGGGGGTCCCAGAGTCCAATCTACCTTGAGCGCCTTCTTGCTTCAGTCATCGAGTGGCGTCACCTTTCCTGTCCTCTCAAGGGGGCGGGCGGACACCCAATCCACTTTCAGCGCCTTCCCACGTCACACTTCTGCCTGCCTCTTCCGCCCGAGGGGTATCCGCATCCCCGGCCTCGCGGGCCGGCCTGGCCTCGCGGGCCGAGGAGCCCGCGGCGGAGGCGGGGCATTTTTTTTTTTTCCGCGGATGCCCCGCGCGGGACGTGGCCGCGCGACCGCGCACCTGCGGGGCGATCGGGCCGAACGGAAGGGCGGGATTGGGAAAGGGGGGGTTGCGAAATTCGCGGCATGCAGCTAGTTTTGCGGCCCCACCGCGCGGGACGTGGCCGTGCGACCGCGTTGCGGGGTCTCGGGCCGAACGGAAGGGCGGGGTTGGGAAAGGGGGGGTTACGACATCTGCGGCAGGCAGCCGGTGTTTTGGCCTCCCCGAGGGGCCCACTCCTCGATGCATCGCCGCCCCTGGCGCCGGGAGGCGCTGGGGAAATCAGCCACGTGAGCTGAGTCTCAAAGCGCCCCGTTGCTATCCTCCCCCCTGTCCCCAGACCCGAGCCCAGACCCCCGACGTCATGAATTTTTCATGACGTCGACCCCCAGCGGTCTGGACCCTTTCCCCGGGACCGGTTCTTCGTCCTGAGTCGTTTTTTGACGGTCCCGAGGGCCGGTAAAGGGCCCCCAAAGGCCAAAAATAATGAAAAACCTCCCGTCGTGATTTTTTCATAACTCGAGGGGGTCTGGGAGGGTCGGGCCCCGGGGTCCAGACCGCGAGGTCGCGGGTGCGGAAGCATGTCCGCCGCTCGTGACGGTCGGCCCCGCGCACGGGGGTCGGCAGTCGGCCGGCGTCGGCACTGCGCCGCGCACCTGGCGTCGTTGCCTTCTGTTCGCGCCGGGCGTTTTTCCGCCCGTCTTCGAGGGCCTGGGCGATCACAGATCGATCCTGCGTGAGAAATCTCGCAGAAAGATGGGGTCTGCCACCTCAAATGGCCGCAAAGTGCGGGCCCCTCCCCCGACTGTTCCATGGGAGGGCGTCAGCGACCCCCGACTCCAGAGCAACTCACGCGCAGATGCATTCATTGTGCAACGGTCAAGGTCATATTCAATCATGTCCAGACATACTTGCTCGCGCGTAGACTCCATGGATGCGCGGCCACTTATAGCCAGACTGGCTCTCGCCATGACCCAATCGTTCCCATATCCACTCGCGCTCAGACACTTTTCTACTCAGCCGCCGGCAGTCAGACCCACTCGTATCCAGACTTGGTTCACACCCGCGCCACTTCTTCACGTCCAGACCCCATCTCCTGCGCAGACACGTTGATGCTCCAGTTCGCTTGCGTTCAGACGCGCGCTCCTTCACGCTTTCTCCTCCAGGCCCTCTCACGCCGAGACCCACATCACTCCTCCAGGCCCCCTCACGCCGAGACCCACACACCCAGACCCCCGACGTCATGAATTTTTCATGGCGTCGACCCCCAGCGGTCTGGACCCATTCCCCGGGACCGGTTTCTCGTCCCCCAGTCGTTTTTGGACGGTCCCGAGGGCCGGCAAGGGCCCCCAGAGGCTAAAAATCATGGAACACCTCCCGTCGTGATTTTTTCACAGCTCGAGGGGCTCATGGGCACCCAGGCCCACCCATACCCAGACCCCTTCGCGTTCCGGCCCAGCCCGCTCGTCGGCCCGCGCTGGGGCCCCTTCTGCACGGCGTCCTTTCGATGCCCCCCGCCCCCCCCCAGGGTGGGAACCGCCCGGGGCGCGCACAGAGCCTCCTGCTTGGACCTCTGGCCTGAGGTCGGGCCTGCCACTCTGCAGGAGGAGTATCCAGACATAGGCAAAAAATTGTCTGGGGGCGATTCTCGTCCAAAAATAATTTAGAAATAGTCCAACAGCAGTCCAGAACTAGTCCAACAATGTCCCCAAATAATCCAAATAGTCCAACTAAATCTGTTTGAGCATTGTTTGACTATGTTTCATCTTCCCTCCAAAATCCGCCCGTAGTGCAGGAGGACATGCCCGACCCAGCTCTAGCCACTGGGGAGCCCGGCGCCTGTCTGTGCCGCCGCGGCCGTGGCGCTGGTGTGACCCGAGCAGCGGAAGGCCACATGGGGCGTTCCAAAAAGGGCCCCTGCCTTCGAGGATGGAAGGAGCTGTCACCTCTTCCTCGGCGGAGGGGCGGCGGAAGGTCGGCGGAAGTATATAGCGAGGCCGCCGCTGCCGGCGGAAGCCGGCGGAAGCCGGCAGCGCAAGGTGGTGGACGTGCAAAGAGCGCCTCCCAAGAGATGAAAGCGTCCTTGGGTTCAGGGTTTCCGAACTCGCCCACGTGCAGCGGTCTGGTCTGCACGCGCCCTCGGCGGTCCCCTCGCTGGAAAGAGCTGGGCGCAACGGTGCCAAACGTCCGACGTGCGCTGCGCCGCGCGGGTGCACCTTCTCTCCTGGGGAGGGCGCGCCGAGGACGGCGACGCGGGGGGGGCGAGGGCCCGAGATGGAGGACCCTGGACCCTCGAGCCGCGATCGACCCTGGGCCCTCGAACCCGGACCCCCGATGCTCGAGCCCTGCATCGATGGAAGATCCGGGGTCGACGGGAGATCTGAGATCCGGAGCGTCCCTCTTCGAATGGGCCCCCGACGGCGGATGTCGGGCTGCGTTTGCCACCGGGTCCTCAGTCCTCGATCGATCTTGGGTCGGCCTCGCGGCCCCAGCGCCACCTGAAGAGGGCCCCAGGAGCCCAGTGCCGTAGCCCCAGAGGACCGCAGGGGCTCTGCAGGACCCGGACATGATCACAGGATGGCCCCAAGGTGGCTCCGTGGCGCCCGCGCGAACCGAAAGAACGACCACCGCTGCGAGCGACCGTCGGGGCTAGTTCATACGGGCCGAGCCAGGCGACAGCCATGGGGATTCGGCTTATCTGGACATCGTGCAATGCGACGCGCACGGAAAGTCAGACGGCAGAAATGGACAGACATAAGAAGACGGAGTCCGCAGAGTCGGCGCGCCAGTGCAAGCGCGAGTTGAACGCGGAGGAAGTCTTGCTCGATATCGGAACTTTCCTGGCGGCATCACATGGGACAGTACATGCGGCTGCGAGGAAGTCCCGAGCGAGATCGGCACTTCCGAACGCAGCGGGTCCACCAACATGGCTCTGAGGAAGCCTCAAGCGAAATCACAACTTGCGGCTGGAATCTGTATCGGATCATGTCTCCAGAGAGAGACCCACTCGCAATAACTATTGCCATTCTCGGGTTGCCGGAGAACTCCTCCAGTCGCTGGGAAATGAGTTTGTAGGGAGAGTTCTCACGCTGAGGAGGTATTTGGCCGAACTGCGAGTCTCTGGTCCTCACTCCTCGCTCGCGCCGTCCCGCTCCCTGTCGCGTCATTCCTGGCGCGTCTCGCCGTGTGTGTCTGGCCCTGCGCGTCCGGGTGAGAGGGCGAGCCCACGAGGGCGAAGGGCGTGACGACGGCAGCGCCGACGACGGCGGCGGTTATGACGAGGAGTAGCGACGACGACGACGACGACGACGACGACGACGACGACGACGACGACGACGACAAAAACGAACAGGCGGTGAGCAGTTCCCTCCCTTAGCCTGTTGCTTCCTCCTCGTCGTGCCCCCTCCCTGCCTGTCCTCCCTCCTCCTTTTTCCCTCCTCCCAGGCCCACCTCCTTCGTCCTCCGTCCTTCTTCATCCTCCCTCCTGCGTCCTCATCCTTTCTTCCTTCCTCCTCGTCCTCCACCTTCTGCCCTGCCTCCTCCCTCCTCCTCCCCGGCAAGTGCCCCCCCCTTCCTGGCGACCCCTCCCCTCGCCTTCCTCTTCCTCCTCGCCGTAGCCCATCCCTCCTCTTCCTCCCTACTCCCTTCTGCCTCCTCCTCCTCCTCCTCCTGCGTCCCGCTAGTTTCAAACCCGTCCTCACAGCTCCTCCCTGGCGGCCGTCCCTCTTCCTACATCGAGGTGGCCACGGTGCTCTGAACGGGCAGCAGTCCGAGGTGCAAAGCGATTGGCCGCGAGCGGGTCCGTGAAACCACCACTGGCGGCTCCCCCCTGGGGGTGCTGCAGCCGTCACGTCGGCCGAGACACCCCGACCAATCTGCGACTCCGAGTGCGAGGCCGGGCGCGCGAGAGCAGGGGCGAGTCGGGGGCCAGCAGGCAGGCGCAGGGGTGCGCCCCGGGGGGGGGGGCGGCCCTCGGAGAGCTCCTCGGGGGTGCCAGGGCGCTGGAGCTCGGGCGTCGCGAGCAGTGCATGTGCGAGTCTGCATGGGGAGGGTGTCTGAGCATGCGGCGAGTCCGAGTGCGCGCGTGTGAGCCCGAGTGCGAGGGAGTGTGGGCACGAGCGGGCAAGGGTGAGGAAAAGTGAAGGAGCGGGGGAGAGGCGGAGTGGACCCGCAACAGAGTTTCGCCCTTGCTCGCAAGTGCTGTTCGGGGATTTGAGGGGAGGTTGCTGGGGTGAACCGCCCCAGAAGAGATGGCTGACAAGACCCAACAGCTGCGCAGCTTGATCCAACCAGCTGGCTTCTCCACCTCCTTTCTTATCTTACATTTGCCCTCTTCCCCCCCCTTCGACCCTACTCGCCCCGCCCCCTGTTGGGCCCCAACGCTTGCAACCTTGCGACGCCCTGTAGGTGCCCGAGGGCCGCGCCTACCTAGGGACGCTTCTTGTGAAGCACGTCGCGCCTTTAATTCCACTTTCGATTCTCCACGCGCCGCGGCAGATAAGCGGATACCTCGGGCCAGGCATGCGTGATGGACGACGCCCCAGTCCGCGTCGACATGCTAGCTCACCTCAGCCGCCTGATGGCAGCGGCATCAGGATCTCACTCATCACTTCCATT